TTTCTGAGCTCCAACAACTGCATTTGTATCAGTTCTGAACTCCAACAAACAAATAAATACATGCCAGTGCATAGTTTGGAGCTCATTAAACTGCTGGCACTTGCTTGTACCTCAGCAGTGCTTCAGATCCATGTTCTTGTCTTATGCTGAAGAGGTTCCTGGGTGAGGAGTGGTGATGCCTTGGGATAAAATGGGTTCATTAGGACTTTTGGACATTGCACTCTGCAGCACTGAGTCCTGGGTCTCACCTCTGGATGCATCCAGACATTGGTGTGTGGTACCGGAGTGCAGTGGGAGCGGGCTCGCCTGAGCATCACCTCTGATACCCCAGTCCAGAAGTTCCCGACAAAAAGGCAGCTAATGTTGAGAAAACAGAGCAGAATAATGACAAGGGCAGTTTAGTCTCTATAGAAACAGTTTATTAGAGTCTTGTCTTTAAACTTAACGGAAGAGAGGAGCTGAGGTGGGAAACCCTGGCAGGCAGCTCACATAAAGAGCTGGTGTGCTCTCATCTGGGGGATCCGTGGCAGTAATGACACTTTATTTTCAGTGATCCCCTCACCCATCTCACTGCTAATGAGCTCTCTAAATGAGAAAGTGAGCAAATGCCCTTTACTTTCCTAACACAAGCAGGGACTCATTCAGATACTGCTTCAGATACTACTGTTCAGGTACTTGTTTTCCTCAGAGACAATTGGTACGGGTTTCAGTGGATTCTTCTTTTCTCTCCCCTTGAGCAAGCTGCTCTAGTGGAAGGAGTCCCTGCCCACTGCAGGGGTTGGAGTTGGATGAGCTTTAAAGTCCCTTCCAACACAAAGCAGGCTGAGGTTCAATGATTCTTCTCCTGCTGTGTTTGCTCTGACCATGCTGAGGATGGTGGTGGTGGGCAGAGGAGCTGTGCTGTGTCCTGGTGGCAGGAGGCCACATGCTGATGGTGCCATGCACTGTGCTGGGGTGGCAGCGCTGGACACAGACATCCCATCTGGTTCCAAACCATGGTGCTGTTCATCAGTGGTGCTGGCTCTGGTGGCATCCCAAGGATGCAGCCTGTCCTGCCAGCTCTGCCGCTCCGCGTCACCTTGGAGATGTCATTTAAAGGGTGAAAAAAGCCCATTTCTCCAAACCCCAGCTAGAAACAGCACTTCATTATTCAGCACAGCCTTTCCCCATGCATACCTGCAGTCTGTTTGCTGACTGCCATCACAAACAGAAAGACCTTGGGTGGTGTGGTGGGGCAAGGACGATTCTATCAGCCAAACCCCACTGAGCTGCCCACAGTTCCTCTTTCAGCAGCAGCAGCAGGGTTTGGTTCTTGTGGCTGTGGCTCACATTGAGCCTGCAGGATCTCTATTATCAGTGCTAAAGCACAAGTGGAGAAGAAACTGAGTTTTCTTTCTGAATCCCAAGAGCAATTTTCAGGGCTGGACGTTGTCAAAGAGAAACCAATTCACTTGTGTGTAGACGAAGTGGATTTCCAAGGTTGTGGCATTACATTTGTGTGCTAACCAGCTTCTCCCTGGCTTTTCAGAGCAGAGCATGAGCTGGAGTCTCCCCTTACCTCTCTCTTCCCCTCTGTAACACGGATTAATACCAGACTCTCTTCCCAAGCTCCAAGGTAGTTTTGCTTGTCAGATCCACAGATGAAGGATGCCCTGGGAGTTTGAAGCCAGTTCCCAAGCAGTGCAGGTCTAACATGAGAAACCACAAACAGCTTTTTCTTTTGACTTGCTGTCTAATGGCTCGTAGGATCCTCTTGCCTCCCTGGATAAATGGATTCATCCTGTGCTCGGATGAGGGAAAGGCAGAGGCTTTGGGTACCACATCTCACCAGCTTTCCACCCATCAGGGAGGGATGTGTCACCCATGATCGCCCAGATGGAGTTATTGATTGAGTTGCTTATTGATTTCCTAATCATTTTCCCTACACAGCCCCCCATCCTGTGTCACTGCCAAGGGAGATCACAAATGGAACTGCAGCTGAATTGATGGGGGATTGATTAAAGCTCACTGTAATTATTGGTTCTCTGCTGCCTGAGCCAGACAAATCAATGTCAGCAATAACAGATCCGGCCCTTTATACAAGCCCCGTGAGCCCTGGTTTTGTTAAGCCCACCTGGGAGCCCAGATTGACCCTTCAGCACAGCCCAGGGAGTTGGGATTAGCACAGGTTGGCTTTTTCCTTGCTCATTTCTGACTACTGTGAGCAAGAGTGTAGTTGTACCCAAATGGGCTTTAGTTTTTCCTCTGCTTTGTGACATCCTGATTGCAAATCCTCATCTCCAGGGGCAGGGAAGTCTGTAACAGAGTTTTCTTGTGCCCAACAGTTGCTCCATCTATATTCATCCCTGCAAACCCCTTTGTGTTGAGGCTGTTGCCTTTCCTGCCATCTCCCTGTTGGTTTTCCTGCCTGGCACTAATCGTGGAGCTCACTGGTTCCCTTGCTTTGCCCAGCACCTTTGTCCCACACAGCCCTAGCAAGCAGGGACACCTCCTTATGTCCCTGCTTTGTGTTCCCAAAGCTTTCTGTCCCTGGAGAGCTTCTTGCTGCAACGCAGCAGCTGGAGAGCCGGCTCTGTGCCGAGCTGGGGTGGATGTGTCGGGGATGCTTTCTTCTGCAAATGTTGTGCTGAGCTGTTTGCTTGCCATAATTAATGTGTATTAAGATGCATAATTACAAACAGAAAGGAAACACGTTTTATTGATGATTAAAAGCCCAAATGGGAGGAATATCCCAAGGGTGGCCTCGAGCAGAGTGGGGCTAAGGGCATGGGGAGGGGGGGGGTGACCTGCTAACCCAGTCCTGGGGGAAAAGCCGTCATCTTCCTCTGCGGGGTGGGGAAGATGCTGAGCTCAGCACATGGATCAGTGCCAGGGTGAGAGCTCCAAATGACAGCTCAGAAGAGCTCTGGCTCTGATCCTGCAGCTCCTTCTGACTTGAGGTCCCATCCAGTTGCCTTCAATGCCCTGGAGGGTCCCTCGGGAGCTCCAGAGAGGAACTTGGGCAGAACCCCAGACCTCCCCATCCCCGTCGGCATAGGGGGAGCAGCAGAGAGGCGGATGCGGTGCCATGGAGCGGAAGATGCTGTTTGCAGTCAGCCCTCCCTGTCCCCCAGGGAGATGTGCTGCTGCCAATTTGCACAGCCCTTATTCTTACAGCAGGGCCTGCAGACGTGGAGGGGACCACAGGGGAGGAGTGTTGGAGCTGTGGATTCACTCACACACACACTTATGCTGATCCTGTTTCCCAGGCAGCTCGGCGGTGAAAAGCACAGATTGTTCCAAGTGTCCTCTCCTCCTTCGTATTTATTCTGTGTACGCGGCTCCAAAGCTTCCTGCTCCTATGTCTGCTGCTGCTTCGTGCCTAGGCAGGCTTACTGTTCCCCAAGCTGTCCCTCTGGGGCTCTGCCTGTGCCCTGCCTGCTCTGCAGACACAGGCAGCATCCTGTTCCAAGGCCCTTTGCTGCCAGCATCCTTTGGCTAGAAAAGCCTCATGCCTCTCAGCCTTCCCTTGCCTCCCCTTCCCACCTTATCCAGGGAAGGTGGTGAGGTTCGCAAGGTCCACCTGAGCTTCAGAGCAGAGGGCATGAAGCCAGCAAGGTGTCAGAGGAACACTGGGTATGGAAATGCTTGAGACATCACAGAAGACAGGGCAGAAGCAGCGTTGATGCTGCTGCCATATGGAAATGGCTCTGGGTTTCTAGGAGGTGAAGAGAAACTTCTCATTGCTTGGATGACGTGGGCCAGGGCTCCCTAAAGCATCATTGATGTCACATGCAGACAGTTTGCTCCTCGAGTAGCTAAGAGTGAGTCCTATAAGAACATTGCTGCTGTTGGAAGCAGGGTCCAGAGCATCCTGAACTTATATATTAATATGTACAGCATTTTGCTCACATGGAAAATTGATTTTCTTTTTTAACCACAAAGTATAGTGGCTTTATAACATTTCTTCTGCTTGACAAGAGGCCATTTATAACCTGCCTTCATCACTACCTGTACAAGCTCCAGTCTAACCCATCTTCAAGGAATTCCATAATGCATTTTTAATTGCCAGCTGCTCCTGGACAAGATTTATGTATTTTTTCCAAGGACTGGCCCTTTTGTTGGTGCTTGCGTGTGTGTGTTTGGTGAAAAGGGATAAATAGCACCAGTGCAATAATGCTCTAATCCGGGTGACTATTGGTGGCATTTTCCGCCTGATGGCTTTTGTCTTCTGGGACAAGGAAAACCAGCTGGGAAACAGGAATTAAACCCAGCAGCAGCTCACTGACTTCTGTGAATCGGCATGGTTCTCTTGGCTGTGGAAAACTGATGAGATGGGCTGTGATCCTGCCTCCACCACCGGCTCCTCCCATGGGAGGCAGCAAGATGCTTGCGGCAAGGGTTGGGGCTGGATGATCTTAAGGTCCCATCCCACCCAACCCATTCTATGGTTCTGCATTAGGGAGGTTGTCACCTTCACCCCACACGGACTTGAGGATTCATTGCTGTGTAATTCTGCTGCCTTGAGGATTTGACCCTCCTCCAGAGGAAGGATGGGGAGTGAGGTTTTCACAGCAGACCTCGTCCTTGCCCTGTGGTCCTTGCCTCTTCCCCAGCAGCTGTGCAAGGTGATGCATGGCCCTTGGGGCTGCCCCATTCATCATTCATAGAATCACAGAATTGTTTAAAGGACCTTAAGATCATCCAGCTGTAACCCCCCTGCCATGGGCAGGGACGCCTCACACTAGACCATGGGACCCAAGACTCTGTCTAACCTGGCCTTGATGAACACTGCCAGGGATGGAGCATTACCACTTCTCTGGGCACCCTGTGCCACCACCTCAGCACCCTCACAGTAAAGAGCTTCTTCCTTACATCTAACCTGAACTTCCCCTGTTTCAGTTTGAACCCATCACCCTTTGTCTTGTCATTCTTGGGTGAGCTCTGCCCAAGGAGGGCACCCACCAGGCTATGGCTCCAGGCTCTGTGAGGACCTTAACGCATCCCATGTCTCTCTGCAGTGTCCTGAGGACCTCCGACCCATGAAGGATGGCACCGGTTGCTACGACTACTCCAAAGGGATCGATTGCTCGGATGGCTTCAATGGTGGCTGCGAGCAGCTCTGTCTGCAGCAGACTCTTCCTCTGCCCCATGACCCCTCGTCCAGCACCATCTTCATGTTCTGCGGGTGAGTCCCTTCCAATGCTCCATCTCTCACTTGTACATAGATAACCTGTGCCCATTCCCATCCCTGCCAACCCTCCTGCCCCACAGTCCCCAAACCAGTGTACCCAGAGAGCATTTTCATGTGTCCAGAGAGGGTTTTCTTGGGTGCCCAAGGAACTTTAGGCTGTTTATGGAGCTGATTTCCAGTAGGGAATAGAAGCACCTGGTTTGCCTGCAGGCAAAAGCATATGGGAGCGCACAGAGCACTGTGAGCAGCTGCAGCTTCCTCCTCTCCCCCTCTGTGTGACGGCACAGTTTGATCTGTGACTCACTGTGAGGGGACCCAAAAACTGTACATTGGGTGTTGGAGGGGGAAGGTGGAAGATTTGTTTAAAAACACTACTTCCCCCCTCCCCATTTCCCCTGTGCCTCTCTTAAAATAGAGTTTCATCCCCGATTTTGGCCAAGATCCTATAATCCTACACAATTTAGCATTTTCTCTCGGGAAAATCTCCCTGGCTGCAGTATGTTCTAAAAGGAGCTCAGTGATTATCTGGCTTTATGCTGCACAGCTGCAGCCAGCCAGCCAGCCATCCATTGCCCTGCCCTGGGGCTCTGCACATTGCATCCCTTGGCTGGTTCATGCTCTTGGGCACATGTGGGAACCTACTCCACATCCCAGTGGGAGGGACTAGGGTAAAGAAGAGGAAAACGAGCCCTTTTGGGAAGGGAATACCCACAAGGAAGCAAATTCCTACCAGTAACTCCAAGGAGCATGCACTGAATCCCGATGCTGCAGGTTCAGCATCTCCTGCAGCCCTGGCTGCTGGTTGCAACTGGGGAAGAGCAGCCCATGGAGCTCTGCCAATGTCACCTTCTCTCTTTATCCCTTTTTGCTGGTTTCCTCCTCACCACCTTCTTTTCTACGCTGGTTTAGGAGCACAGAGCAGTCGAGTCACTGAGAGCGAGCACATTGCACCATGCCTGCCAAAGGGTGCAATATGAAACCCATATGGGCACCAGAAACCTTTGTGGGGATGCTCTAGAAAATCATGGTCTCCATTCGCACCCACACAGTGAATCTGCGTTTCAGTTTGCCATCCCCAAGGGCAGAGACTTTTTCCCCCTTGGTTTTTCATAATCCCTTTTCCAGGCAGAGCTGCACCTTGGGAACAGGCAGGGAAAGGTGTGACAGGCGGGTGCAGGTTCTGCTTGCAGCACTAAAATGTGGCAGAGGAATGGCAGAGGGGAGCAAACCTGGATGGAGGTGGGATTGATGTTAGCAGAGTGCTGTGGCTATGGGGAGGAAGGGGCAGGTAGGGAATGGAGGTTTCCTTGTCATCTGGGAGCCAGTGTGAGGAAAAAGGCCAGAGAAAAGAGAGGGGAGGATGAGCAAAAGATGCCCCTGATGTCTGTAGTTAAATCACATCCCTGCTGCCTGCCTCAGTTTCCCTTCCTGTCTGTTGAAGATGAGCGTGTGCATCTTACCCGCAATGTGCTTGAAAGTGGGACCAAAGGGCAAAGGAGCTGTTTCCTTGCATGGGGGCACTCCTGAGTGGAAGAAAGCACAGGAGCTTGAATTTGCCTTGGGAATGGTTGTACACAAAACAGCACCTTCCCAAGCAGCTGCTGGAGATGTTGGTGATGCTCAGCTGGACTCATCAGAGACTTATCCCATGGCAGGGCTCATGGGGTGGCCTAGTGGAAGGTGTCCCTGCCCATGACTGAGACTCAATGAGCTTTAAGGTCCCTTCCAACCCAAACCAGGCTGTGGTTCTGAGTAGCTTGTGGTGCTCCACAGGTGCGTGGAGGAGTACAAACTGGCCCCGGATGGGAAGTCCTGCCTGATGCTGTCTGACATCTGCGAGGGCCCCAAGTGCCTGAAGTCGGATGCCAAGTTCAACGACACCCTCTTTGGGGAGATGCTGCATGGTTATAACAACAGGACCCAGCACGTCAACCAAGGGCAGGTGTTCCAGATGAGTTTCAGGTATGGCCTGGTTCTGCTCCTAGCTTTGGGAACATTGGGATGGTGAGATAGGATGAAGGTCCACTGGTGCAGAGCCAGCATCTCTGATGGGTTCTCTAGGGGAGAGAGCAAGAGGACAGCAACCATCCATGGTTTTCCTACTTGCTCATCCTTCCTGCAGGCAGCAAGACCCTCTTGGGCCAACGTGTGTCTTGTCAAGTGTTCAATTGCATTTGGTGGGCTTTTCCAGGCAGTGTTGCCTCATCTCTTTCTGAACACTGATGTCTTTTACCTCCATGATACCCTGTGACAAGGAGTTCTGCTGTTTAATCACATGTTGTATGAAAGGGTGTTTCCTTGGGTGTGTTTTCAACCTGTGTGAGCTGGTTTTACTCAGAGTCCCCAGTTACAATACTGGGGGGAGCTGTGGATATATATATATATACATACACACACATATACGTGAGAGATAACATAAATAAGCTGAAAGTAGATACCCAACTAGAGCTGCAAATAGCAGCCAGCAAAGGCGTTTGCAAGCTGCATTCCGGGTATGTCAGGAGTGCTGGGGGTCAGATGGGCATGGCAGGGAGAGCAGGATGTGAGCTGCAGTGCTCACAGAGGGGAGCTTGCTGGTAGCTGCTGAATTCAGGCTGGAAAATGAGTTATTTATCTGTTTTTCTTCACTTCTCCTGAATGCAGACACATTTTGGTTGGGTAATAAACTAAGGTGGGCCTATGATCAAAGCAGCAGCAGTGATCACAGTCAGGAGACGGTTCAGTGCGTATCCCACGCAGATGCAATTCTTTGGCCAGCATCTCCCAGTGCACTGGGGGTTTCTCTCCTGTTAAGGCACCCAGACCCCATTGTTACCTCTGATTTTAGCTGGAGCACGGAGCTCATCACTGCTGGCCACGGTGTTTCTCTGCGTGCTTTTCCCCCAGCTGAATGCAGAGCCTTCCTAGCAATGCATCCGCGCTGAACTCTGGCCTTCTGCTGTCTCCATGGCAGATGAATTACGATTCCACCAGCACAGAGGCGCTCAGAAAGGCAGAGCCAGCAGAGTGCTTGGAGCCGCTGGAAGTGAGAATTGACAGCGCACAGAGGCAATTTTCCCAGTGGGCTCCCCTTTGCTTTCCCTCCCTCCCACGTTACAAGCGTCAGCAGGTCCGTCACAGCTGGGATTTGCCATGAGCTGGCAGCTCTGGGGGCTTCAAACACACCCCAAGTGTTCTCCTGGGAATGCCAGACCCAGGCAGGCTCCCCCTGAATGAGGGCCAGGCCCAGCTCGTGCCATCAGTCCTTATGCACCAAACCTCCTTGTGCAGCTCATCCATAGCCTCCCGCAAAGCAGGAGGGTTGAAAGCCATCCTCCTCCTGCCTCAGCTAGGGCTGGGGACTAAGGGCTGCTTTATGGCCACCGGGAAGGAAACATATCCATGTCCTCAGGGCTAAATTCCAGCTGGGAAGCACGCAAGGTTGCTTGTGGGTCTGGTTTATCCTGGGAGATGTGTCTTCTCCTAGGAGACGTAGTTTCTCCTGGTTGATGCGGTTTCTTCAAGTCGTGCTGCCCTGGGGATGCTGGGTTTGAGCAGTCCCAGGCTGGACCAGGAGTGGTTCCTGCTGGAGCTGCTTTTGGCCTCTTTGCTCTCAGGATAAAAGACCTGTGCTGTTGGGGTTGTATCTTCCCTGAGGCTCTGGCTGATAGGTTTCCAGGGCTGTTGGTGGTCCATCCGCTCCCCATCCATGGCCAGCCAGGCTGCCGGGGTGATGGCTGTGGTGCATGTAGTGGGAGGAAGCATTTCCCAGTGAGGCTCTGCGCAGCGGGACCTAGGTCTTCTGCACAACCTCAACATCAGAGGCAGGATTTTCAGTGCCCAGCATCAGCTGGGGGATCCCAACAGCTCCAACAGCCGGTAGAGGGAGGAGAAAGCAGGTCTAAAGCAAGAGCAACCTTCAGAGCACATCCATGTGTTGTGTGTGATGCACTGGCTCGGCAGAGTTCGGAACCAAGTTGGAGGCACCATGTCTTGCTCCACAAATGCTTTCAGCAGCCTGGAAGGTCGGCATGGCTGACCTTTCCCATTGGCATGCAGCCTGTTGGATCCAAAAGCCCTGGGCAGTGATGAGAGGAGCTCAATTCAGCCCATGCAGTGTCCTTCCCTGCAGCCAGGCTGCCCGGTGTGTCGGAGGGTTACGCTGCAGAAGCACCATTACATCATCCCCTAACAAGGCAAGAGAAGGAGGTTAATGGAGAAGAAATTATTAACTGAAAGATGTAATTTGCCTCTGATTTTCATAGGTATTCAAGAACCTCTCTGCGCTTAAGACACCAGCTGTTAGAGAAGCCCTTAATTTGGTGCATTTGAAACATAGCAGGAAGCTGCCTAATACCAGGGATTAAAAGCCTGTTTCTGCGAAGTAGGAGCAAGAACCTGCTATCAGAACAAGGGGCTGAGTATTTTAGAGAGATTTAGAACTGCTGGGATCCTTTAGCTATGCAGATGTGACAGTCAGCTGAATGGTGTCTGCTTCCCATGTCGCCGCATCTTCAGTGTCTTTCATAAATAGGATATTCTCAATTTGCCAGGCATGTCAGCATGGGGTTGGGAGGAAGCCTTTGTACTGGGAAAAGCTGTCTCATGGTCCCTGGCCTGGGCAACACCTACCAGTTACCAGTATTTGCATCCCATTGGGTGCATCCCATTGGCTCCTCCAGCTCCAACCCCTGCCACAGGCAGGGACCCCTTCCACTGGAGCAGCTTGCTCCGAGCCCCTGTGTCCAACCTGGCCCTGAACACTGCCAGGGATGGGGCAGCCACAGCTTCTCTGGGCACCCTGTGCCAGCGCCTCAGCACCCTCACAGGGAAGAGCTTCTTAATCTTTCAGTTTAAAGCCATTCCCCTTGTCCAATCACTACCTGCTCTTATAAGGGTCCTCCCAGCAATGGCTTGCCATGGCACTGGGATGTAGCTGGTGTCACACTGATGGCTTTATTGTGTCTGGTCAGATCGAGAGGATGGGGATGTGCAGCAGGTACCTTTAGGATGCAGCAGGAGGATGGTGTTTGACATGAGCATGCAGCACACTAGGCTGGTACTGGGAGAGCTGCATAGTTTTGGAGGTCCCAGACCTTAGACCAGCCTGTGGTTCTAGTCAGTGCTGCATGAGATTTTGGGTTTCCCCTTTAACCCACATCATTTTATCTGAGGGGTAAAGCAGCACCCAAGCACTTCAGTGGCAAGGGAATGATGGAGAAAGCAAATACTGGCTGCTGTGACTGATGTACCCACAACAGGGGTGGGTAGCAGTCAAACAGTTCATGCACTGTATGTGCTTTATGTATACACCTGCACTGGTGTGGCACCTCGTTGTGGTACACGGAGCTTGTGTTCCTGCTCTCACATCCCTTCGTGCTGGTGCCAAGGATCCTTTCCCTGTCCATCAGTGCAGTGAAGCCACAGCCCATCAGGACGTGAGCACCGCAGCAGCTCAGATCAAGCTGTCATGAGTTAGGAGCTCTGACACAGTTATTTTCTGTACTGAGATGGTTTAATGACCCCCAATGATCACTGTGGTGATTGGGGTGCTCAACTTGCCTGTTGGACAAGCCTTCATCCAGGCTTCAGCTTGGAGGAGTGCACCACATCATTGCTGCTGCTGCTGCTGTTTCATTGCAAGGATTTAAATCAAAGCGCTCCTCTGGTGATGCTTCTGCGTGTCCCTCGCGGGTGCATTGGTAGGGGCAGAGGAGGGATCTTTCATCACACACCAGAACCCTCCCCACCCTTGCTCCTTCCATTGTTAAGCCCAGAGCGCATTCAGAGCCGCCTTCTTCTGGGCATCCATCTCTTTCTGTTAAATAGGTTCTTCTCTTTGGTGGAATGCTGCATGATGTTAATAAATAGATGGGATTGGAGCTGATCTATTCCAGTCACACCTCTCGCTCTAGCCGGGAGGTTCAGCACTGGATCCAGCTCACTAAAGACTAGATTAGAGTGATTCCCCCCTCCTTGCCTCACACTGGGGCAGAGCCTTGACTCCACACCATCCCCAAATCACCCAGGGATTATTTTCCAAATGGGTTGTTTATTCATTCCTTATCTGTTTTGTGCCGCCTCCTTGCCCCGAGGGAATAGAGATGTTTTGTTTAAAAGCTGTTTGCAGTTTCAGATTGTTGCTTTTATGCCATTAATATGGAGAAATCCCAGACTGCTACCTGTGGAGCCAGCTTCTCTTGCTGGATTATTACTGCATGGCAAATGGGATGTCAGAGCACTCCCTGGGGAGCAGCCGTCTGCCTTAACCAGGGTCCCTTCCCATCCCTATCTCTGGTTCTGCCTCTCATCCCCACTCTTGTCCTTGGCATAGCCCCAGGGTCTGGGGAGCACTTCGCTCATCCCCATTTGATTCCTTCCTATTGGAGGCTCAGCGAATCCAGGCAGTTTCTGGGTGTTGGGGTCAAATAAGCAGCCAAAGTAGTTTGGTGGCTGGAGTGGGGAGAGGATTTGTGTTGGCACACCCTCACTGCAAAACCCCTGCTGAGCACAGTTTTCCCCTTCCCATAATCAAGGAGGATGGGGCTGAAGGGTGCAGGGCTGCCACACTGAGCACCCTTCCCTCTGCAAACTGCTCCTCAGAGGATGCTGTTCCACGCATCCTCACCCATCAACCAGTGCTGCTGCTTCACAGCCTTGGGAGCTGTGTTGAGCACAGCCCCGAGGAGGCCGGGATGCCATGGGGAGGGCTGGGTACCCGCTGGCCCCAGCGCGGCAGCGGCTCTGCCTGCACGCAGCCGCACACCGGGTCGCGGAACCGATGCAGGGAATTGTCATAATATTGATGGGGAGTTTGGCAAGTTAATTTTAAATCTGTCACTTCTTCCCCTCGCTGCTTCTCAGCCCTTAATAAACCAGTGCGGCGGTGGCGGTGGCGGTGGCGGCGCGGGGGGAGCTGACAGCTCAGCACCATCACTGCCGCAGGGATGCTTTGGGAAACATCCCCATCGCTCTCCCTCTGC